TCATGTCTGATTTACTAATAGAAAGATGGAATTAGTGGGCCAGTTGATAGGGAAGAGAGATATTTCAAACCATTACCATGTTCGGCTTAAGTTAAATAGGTTTGCTTGGGGTCCCAAACCTTTCAAAGTCAATAATTTTTGGTTTGAAAGAAGATAATTTCTTATTTCTATGGAGAATGATTGGTCTAAGCTCAAACTTGAAGGGAGAAGTGACTTTATGTTGAAAGAACAACTAGGTTATTAAAAGGGAGTCTTAGAAAGTGGAAGAATAAGGAGTTTGGCTGGATTGACTTGGAGTTAGATAAAGAGGTTGAAGAGTTGAATGTAGTTGATGAATTACTTTCTAATTGTCAAAAGGATGAGATCATTAATTTAGTAGACAGAAGAGGCAAGTCCTTTATCTCTATGTGGAATTAGCTCTACCTCAAAGAAAGTCTCCTACTGTAAAAATCTAGGCTAAAGTGGACTTGAGATGGGATTCAAATAGCATATTTTTTTCACAATGTAATGAAAGGAAGAAACAAGAGGAAGTTCCTATGATGTCTAGATATAGACAGAGGAGGTGTGAATTCAATATGAGAGGTGAAAGATGAAGTCATGAGGTTTTTTTATGCAGAAGTTTCCAAGAGCCACATTTAATTAGACCTGTATTAGAATGGATTGAGTTCAAATGCCTTTCTCTAGAAGAAAAAAATTACTTGGAAGAAAATTTTTCTAATTCAAAAATAAAGGATGCATTTTGGTGGTGTGAAGGATCTAAAAGTTCAAGTCTAGATGGATATATTTTTGTATTCATAAAGAACTGTTGGGACTTCTTAAAATAAGATGTCATAAAGCTTGTGAAGGAGTGTCATGGTAAAGATAAATTGTCCAAGGCTATAACCTCATCCTTTTTAACCCTCATTCCTAAATGAAGTAAACCTCAAGGTTTGAATAATTTTAGGCATATTTGTTTGGTTAGATGTCTTTACAAAATATTAACATCCAAGCTTAAAAGAGTTTTAGGTAATTTAGTTTCTCCGAGCCAATCAGCTTTTGTCCCAGGGAGACAATTTCTTGATGGGGTGCTAGCTTCTAATGAGATTATAGACTTAGCAACTAGAGAAAAGAAGGAGTGCATGCTTTTCAAAGTTAATTTTGAAAAAGAATATGATAGAGTGAGTTGGAAATATCTCGGATACATGTTGAAGAAGACGTGGTTTGGGCCAATTCAGATGAAATTGATGGAAGCATGTGTTTTCACTAGCCATATGTTTACTTTGATAAATGGGAGCCCCACATTGGATTTTTAAGTAGGTAGATGTTTAAGACAAGGTAAACCTCTATCACCTTTTCTATTTGTCTTGGTTGTAGAAGGTCTAGCTGGATTAGTCAATAAAGCTAAATTAATAGGAAAGAACAAAGGTTTAAGTATACATGATATGGTCTCTTTTGAGATCCAATAATTTGATGATGACACTTTATTGATAGGAGAAGGAAGTTGGAAGAATGCTCAGAGCTTAAAGGTAAGGGGATTTGAATTCGCTTCTGACCTTGGTGTAATTTTTGCAAATGTAAGATCTATGGTATCAACATGAACAATCAATTCACTCAAGCAAAATCAACTTTCCCCTCTTGTAACAATGAAGACATTCCTTTCAAGTTCCCAGAAATCCCAATAAGATCCAACCCTAGAAGAATCAATATGTGGAACCCTATTCTTGACAAGTTGAGAGAAAAATTTACTAGTTGGAAGAGTAGATTTTTATCTCAGGGAGGGAGAGTCACATTGATCGATTCAACCTTAAATAGCCTTCCAATATTTCTACTATCTTTCTATAAGGCCCATGTGAAGATTTGGAATGAGATTTTGAAAATTCAACAAAATTTTCTGTCGCTCAGCTTTAAAGTGGAAAGGAAGGTCCACTTGGTCAGATGGAGTCATATCTGTAGGCCTAAAATCCATGGGGGTTTAGGAGTTAAGAATATTGAGGATTTTAATAGTGTCGTTTTATGTAAATGGAAATGGAGGGTTTTGGTTGAAAATGATGTTGTTTGGTCATAATTTCTTAGAGCCAGGTATGGAAACATTGAAAAGACAATTCTTAAAGGGATTTTGGATAAAGGAATAAGAAAAGAGTCGAATTAGTGGTATGAATTAGTCATATTATGCAAAGGGAAACTAGGAATACTGTAAAGGATTCGCAGGGAATGTAATTTGCAAGTTAGGAGATGGTAAAAGCATCATTTTTGGGTCATCAATTTGGTGTGGGGAGGAGTCTTTGAAACATATCTACCTTGATCTATTTTTTGGCAGTAATAATCAAGAAAGCACTGTTGAGCAAATGGACTATTAGATCAATGAAGCTTGGTTATGAAACCAACTTGGCCATGATGAGGATTGGTCAGCAGATAACTTAACATGCAGGTTGGAATTATTAGATTTTTCATATGTGTGTTATGTTTCTAATAGGATGAAAATTTAGATCACTTCATCTTCAGTTGTCCTACAGTGCATAAGGTTTGGGTTGAGACTGAGAGGTGGGTAGGCATTCAAGTATGCAAGGAACGCCCTTTGTAACGCCTAGACTACTTTTAGGATTACTGATTGATCTCACAAACCAACACGAGTCTTTTTAGCGTGCTTTTATCCCCACTCACACGCTTTTCAGGAAACTTCCCAAAAGGTCACCCATCCAAATACTTCTCCATGTCAAGCACACTTAGTTATGAAGTTCTTATTTGTTAGACTACCAAAAATAAGACACATATTGCTGGTATAAGTAGTACCAATCAATCCTTATAAGAATTCCTCCAACCATATAGTCTCATTCTCGCACAACCTCAGAATCCCTCTCATTTCAATGTGAATTCGGAGACCACTCCCCGCCCTCTTTGGCCTCGGTTGTTACATGCCAACCAACTCCCGTTTAGTTTGTTCCCAAACCACAATGTACTAGGAGAGGTTTGGCTTTGATACCATTTGGAACGCTCTAGTCTGCTTTCAGGATTATCAACTGACCCGACAAACCAACACGGGTCTTTTCAACATGCTTTTGTCGTCACTTACACGCTTTCCAGAAAACTTCCCAGAAGGTCATTCATTCAAATACTACTCCAAATCAAGCACGCTTAACTATAAAGTTCTTATTTGTTAGGCTACCGAAAAGAAGATGCATCTTGTTGGTATATATAGTACCAATCAATCCTTATAAGCCTTCCTTCAACCATGCAGTTTCATTCCTGCACAACCCTATAATCCCTCTTATTCCGATGTAAATTCAGCGAACACTCCTCGCCCTCTTTGGCCTCGGTTGATACATGCCCACCAACTTCTGTTTAATCCGTCTCTGAACCACATCGTACTGAAAGAGGTCTGCCTCTGATACCATTTGTAATGCCTCAGATTACTTTAAGGATTATCGTCTGATCCCACAAATCAACTCGGATCTTTTCAACTTTCTTTTGTCCTCACTCACACGCTTTCTGGAAAACTTCCTAGAAGGTCACCTATCCAAATACTACTCCAAGTTAAACACGTTTAACTATGAAGTTCTTATTTGTTAGGAAACCGATAAGAAGATGTATCTTGTTAGTATAGATAGTACCAAGCAATCCTTATAAATATTTCTTCAACCATACAATCCCATTCCTGCATAGCCTCATAATCCCTCTTATTTTAATGTAAATTCGACTACCACTCCTCACCTTCTTCGGCCTCTAGTGTCACACCTTTCGTGGAGGAGCTTCAATATTAGTAGAAGGAAATTGAAATGGAAGATCAAGAAGGATAAGGAAGGTATTTTTTGATTGGAAATAGTTTGAAGCATATGAACTATATTCTTTTTAATGGTTTAGTTTGTAATCTTGGAGATTTACTCTGGTCTTTTAAAAAGGAAGTATGAAAATGAAGATTTATTGGAGAAATATCAAATCCCAACTGTAATTTTTATAATTTATCAGTAGTTCCTTTAAATTATTTCTCTCAGTTGTAGTTGGTTTGAAATCAGAAGATGCTATATGCAGCCTCCAAGACCGTTTTCGATCCATACCATGGGTTGTCCTTCATGGTGCATACTAGTTCGAAAAACAAAGAATATCTAACCTCTCCTCATATATATATATATATAAAATGTCACACAAGATCTAAAGTATGATAACCAAAAGTTACTTAGAGACCTCTGCGTACTAACTTCGGAAACTTGCTCCACCATACCAAAATTTTATTACACATTTTTAGTTCCACGGGATTAAAAAAATTAAAAAACTTACTTCCCATGGCCTCCCCTGCCAATAGAATATGTGTAAGTTTTATGATAAATTTTATAAAAAAAGAACATTTATGATTCTGTTTCACCTTGTATGAAGTAGCCTCCCCTGATCTAAATCAATTAAAACAAAAAAATTACCTAATTATCTCTGTTTTCTTACATGTTTCAACCTTATAATATTTTAATGGCAACATATTGGTAAAGGAGAAAAAGGACAGCATGAGGATTCATGTGGGAATATAAGTTACTTACTGGCTTTCCACACTTTTATTCCATCTCCATAACCAATATCAGGGGACACACATAATAAACACACTGTAAGAGAGAGAGAGAGAGGGACAGACAGAACATTTAGAGAACCTTTCTTGTAAACAAAACAATGTAACTTAAACAAAGATTTTTAACATAGTACCAATAAATAACCCCTTGTGCCTCTCTTTCTCTCTGTATTCATAATACATCATCACATTGTTTGGCACAGAAAAGAATAGCATAAAAATAATAATGAAAATAAAAAGATGAAAAAGATACCCAACATCATCTATACATGACTTGTTGTTGAGGTCTCTTGAGTGAACAAACTATAAAAATTCTTCAATAAACAACTGAATTTATAAAAATGATCAGGTGCTTGTCCAAGTTGAATGAGAATCAAATGAATATAAGATCATACATCAAATATATTTCTAGATTTATATGTCGGATGATCGACATGTTGTCGAATTCAAAACCGAAACCTTATCACTTGCCTTAGTAATGACAATCCACCAAAGCGGGTGCGGAGAAGACAAGATTTGTTTGTTGCTGCTGCTGTTGTTGTTGTTGTTTTTGTCCATGCTGTTGTTGTTGCTTGGAAGCAAAGGCAAACTTTGATTCTTTTTGATCATCTTCAGGTGCAGGAAGGTTGAGATCCAAATCCAAAGACAAAACATTCCTTTTCTTTCTAGGTTGATGATCTTCATCAGGCTCTAAAGCCATTGGTGTCAATGACAGTGTGGTGTTGGCAGTTGATGTCCCCACCGGCGCGCGGTGGCGCCTCATATGCCCACCAAGTGCTTGTCCAGATGTGAATTCAGAACCACAAATGGAACACTCATGAACCTTAGACTTGTTGTTGTTGTTGGTTCCGCCGTATTGATTTCCCTTACCATTGTTATTCAATTGAAGGGAAATTGGTTTGTGATTCGGTTTGAATTGAAACTCTTGATCGTCATCGAAAAAGTGTTTCCTCTCTTGAGCAATTGCCAATGCTTTGGGCTTTTTGTGACTTGCTCTATGGCCACCAAGCGCTTGAAAAGAAGGGAAAGTCCTGTTACATGTTTTGCATTCATAGACATAGAAACCAGCTCTTCCAGAATCCAAACTAGCAGCTTCCATGAACTTTCTACTGCTGTATTTCGCATAGTTCATCATTCCACCGTCTAATTCATCTGTAGTTTTCGGCGATTCTTTTGATTGTCCTTGTGCCAATAGAATCAAGCAGTTAGCCATATCATGTTCTTCATCATCCATAACACTGTCCTGTTTTTCTCCAACATAAGATGTTGTCGGAGAGGTATTGCTGTTATTGTGGACGATGTTGATATTGATATTGTTGTTGTTGTTGACAACATCCTCACCATTGTTGTAACAATCTTCTCCTTCTCCAGTTGAAGAATTCGCAGTGATGGAAAAAGGAATAGGAGATTGTGGCCTAACCCTTTTGGTTCTTTTCCCTTTGATGATATTGCTGAGTTCCTTAGAGGCTAAAGAGAGTTGTTGCTGTTGCTGTTGATGATCATGTTGATGATGATCATGGGCAGGTTCCATTGTGATTTGGATTAAGAGAGAGAGAGAGAGAGAATAAGTTGAAATGAACCTTAACCTTAAAAGTTAAGAGAGAAAGAGAGAGAGGGGTTAGGAGAATTGTAATGTAATGTAAGGTAGCATATAGAAAGGAGAGTGGTTATTTATATATATATATAGAAAGAGAAAGAGAAAGGGATTGGGGAGTCAAAAGCCACCCAATGCAGTAACTGTGATTGATTTGTGAATAGAACAAGTGTTTATTTATAGGCAAGTTAAGAAAAGGAAAAAAATTTGAGAGAGAATATAGGTAGAGAAAATTAAGTAAAGAAAAAAAGAGACCCAAAAATAATGAAAAAAATTAACAGAAAGTGACCAAATATGGAGAGAGTGGCAGAGTGGACATATATAGATAGAGTCCGTCTCACACTCTCTTTCTCACACTTTGCCAACGCACTTCACCAAATGAAATGAAACTACTCCAACAAAAAGCTTGGTGGCAAGATATTAGCATGCTAATTACTTTTTTTAAATTAATTAATATCTCTCATTCTAATTAATTACTATCTTGCATGTTTTATCAGTAATTAGTAATTACTATTTACTAATCACCACAACATTCTAATTAATTACTATCTTGCATGTTTTATCAGTAATTAGTAATTACTATTTACTAATCACCACAACTCATATTCATGGGGTGAATCAATTCTCTAATTATGGATTGCTTGTATCTTACACCAACCTCTCAATCTTTTTCACTTCACTGCCTTTTTGTATCTAAACCACAAAAGGTTTAGTAGGTTCTAGTTTTGCACCATGTAATTTTGGGTGAATGCATGGAACTTTTTTTAATCTTTAGATAGCTATTTCATACCAAAGATATTATATAATTTTATTTTAAGTATTGATTTTGAGATACACTCTTTAATGTTAATTATGCTTTTAAGATACATTTTAAATGATAAATATTTTAGTTTAATTTTTAATTTTTAATAATAAAATTGCATGCGTTTAATCGACTCTATTAAATTAAGAAAAAATAAAAGTTTAAAAATTTAAAATAAAGATTACATAATATATTTTTGACTTGAGATATAAATTTTTTCTTGTACAATTTCACACAATTTTCAAGATGAGTGCAAAGCGTGATATTTACTTTTAAAGTCGATTCAACGACATTGCGTAGACTCGAGACTATGACTATTTCAGATAGATCATGTGATAGATAATTTTTAATATGATTCAAAATATCTTATTAAAACGTTACGTGCAAAACGATAAATATTATAATCAAAGACGCGTGATAGATAAGTTTTGAGTATAATTTCAAATATTTATTAAAATGTTACACGCAAAACAATAAATATTCTAATAAAAAATGCGTGATAGATATGTTTCAAGTATAATTCCAGATATCTTATTCAAATGTTATGCGCAAAATGATAAATATTCTAATAAAAAATGCGTGATAGATAGGTTTTCAGTATGATTCCAAACATCTCATTAAAATGTTACGCGTAAAACGATAAATATTCTAATCAAAGCCGCGTGATAAATATGTTTCAAGTATAATTTGAGACATCTTATTAAAATATTACGCATAAAACAATAAATATTCTAATTAAAGACAGTCAATTATATAATTCACCTAAAATTGTAAAAGTTATACACAATCATATACACAAATTTGTTAATTTAATATATTTTTAAAACAAATAAATGGAATGTAAAATATAAAAATTTTAAAATGAATGTTAGGTCTTGTGTATATTTAATATAAAGTATTTTGTATATTAAACTATTGAGTTTTATGGATTTTTTTAGTGTGAGAAAACACTCTCTCGATTGGATATTAGTATCAAAATAAATTAGTAATAATATTTTTGTTTGTTTGTAGATTATAACATTTAATGAGATTTACTTTTTATTCGTATTTTTAAATTTTTTTTGAAAGATAGGTTGAACATTTCTAACAATTGTGTTTGTTAATTTTTTGATGTATTAGGTTTTAAGTCCTCTCATCTTTTTGTTTTTCTTTTTTTATCCCATAAGTTACCTTTACTAAAAAATATAAAAATAATTAAATAGAATATGATAGTTAATCATGGAACATATTATATCATGTAAATATGAAATGGATTAGAAATAAACATAATATAATACGCAAATAAATAAGTTATTAAATTATTTCTAAAAATTATAATTTAAAATATAAAAGTTAATTTTTTTAATAAAATATAAAAATGAATTAATATTAAGTTAAAATATAAAAATAAATTTATTAACAATTAGTATATTTAAAATTAAAATTATTAATACACATTTCAAGAACATAATATATAATATAATTACTTGTATTATTCAGAACATTATTACTAAATTCTTGCCCGCCCACAATTAATCTTGTTGATTACTTACTATCTATAGCTAAAACTCAAGTTATGATCAATGAAGGTAATGAGTGTTTCAATTTTAAAGGAATATTTTAATGAATAAGTGATGAGTTAGAACCAAATAAATTTGTTGTAGTATAGTTGGTAACACGTTATGGTTGAAGAATGAGAGATGATACATGTAGAGTGTAAGATAGTGGATGATATATACTCTATCTTTAGAGAAGCAATAAGCTAGCCATTACTTTGGGTGAACGATTTGTGCACGAGATGATTAATTGGAGTGCAAGGCTGGAACCACGGAATCTGCGGTGATCCCTTCCCTTATATTATGCTACCTTTTCTACTCTGTCATCTCTGCATCACCACACTTTTTTTACATTTATTCCATGGACTTCTTGTGTTAACTAGCTTCCCACTCTTTTTTTCTTCTTAATTTTATGACCATAATTGTATTAAATGGTAAATTGAAATTAAGGGAATTTTTTTAACATACATTCTGATATCTAACACCCTTTAATCATATTGAGGAAATTTCAACAACTACATTGATTCTAGTTTCTAAAGGATTTATATAAATGAACACTTCTTATCTTATAATTTATAGGGACGAGTTAATTCAAACTCTAATTTTAATAAAGAGTGATACCAATTCATATTTTCTAGCATATTTTATGATTGATTAAAATTCACACAACTCTCACTAAATTATATAAATTTCACGGGAGTCGTGAATTGTAATTAATTAAAAAAAGTGGTAGAAAATGTGTATTAAAGAATGTTTTGATTTTTATTTACTTTTCTTTAAAAAAACACATTTCATATAAATTATAGATAAAAATAGGTTGTGCCGAGTTGAGTTTCATAAGCTTAAGTTTGATTTGTTTAAAAATTTAAAACTTAAATTTGGCCTATAACTTATTATTGATTTATTTTTCGACATGAACCTGATATTTTTTAAGATTTTATTGGCCTAGTAGTCTATTTAAAAATCATATATAATTTGAGTATATATAAATAAGAAATTTAACTAATGTTTAACTAGACTAGAGAATTAAAGTACAACGAAACTAAATATTTGTATGTATTGACTTATTTGAGTTTATCTAAAATATGGTTCCTCAGGGGACACATGCCGAACTCGATGTCCTAGCAACTGGTTCGACAAGTTAAACCAAAATTATCATAATTAAGACAATCTAAGTTGTACAAGATGATGAAGCCGAAAAACAATAAATAACACAATCAATTGGTAACCCAGACCGTTGCAAACATCACCTACATCTAGAGAATTGACTTCAAACCCAAGAAAAGAAATTCACTTTTTAGTAGTTTAGTACACTTAGTCTGACAAACAACAACAAATCATATGTTGTTCAATGCCTCTTCCTAACACTACCCAATCGCATTCTATTTAGAACTCCCATAAATATGAGACACCCTCTCACTTTCTTTTTTTCTCTCAAACACTAACCTTTTATTATTTTCAATCACTAAATCCTAGTGATCAACTTCTGTCAACAATGTGAATGATGTTGAATTTATAACTTAACTAGACATACCTACAACTATGCCAAGTTACTGAAACACAGTGTGGTGTACATAAAGAAATAACAAGGACTCTAAACAAACTCTAGCACTATAAAGATCTTCAACGTATTGCTCGTTTTTCAATGTAGGTTTGAACTCCTTATATAGCATAATAATTATGGGGTTTTCACCTTGGATATTTGATATGATTTCGTCCAGAAATAATGCAGAATATGTTGGATATTATCTGTTCGATAAATATCTCCAACAAGATGTGATTTGTTACAATTCAAATTCAAATTTAAATCTCCATTTAAATCTGAATTGATCTCTGTCTAACTTTCAAATAAATCACCTAATCATATTGCTAAACCAATAGCAATAAAATCTGACCAAATCTTGACTAGAAACGCTTCCAAAATGCAGCAGTATTGGCCTGTTGCCCAAGGCTCAAATTTCATACCAACATGTGTCCCTTCTGCACTTTCATACAGCTTAAGCAAGCTAGAATAATCATGAACACTTTGAAAACTCTGAATACTTATCTATGTTGTTGTTTTGCAAAATACAGCCTATCCAAATGGTCAATCCAAAAAGAACTACAATCTCCCCCTTTAAAAAATTATGGCAAAACAACTCTTCAAGATATAACAATCATTCAGACTAGAATAAGTGACAACCAGTAGAAGCACTGGATTATCAAAGCATACAATCAACAACAACAAACTATCTTTTCATTATTAAAGTTAAGTACCACCAGCAATAGTAGAAGTCAGTAGCATCAACATTCAGATGCTTACACACAATTCATTCACTTGCTCCAAACCAAATAGATAATCAATCATGCAATATTACACACACTTAGTCATGCATGTTCTCAGTCAACACATAGTTAGTAGCATATAATCCTACCAACTAACAATTATCAGCATGCAATCATTCACATGATTAGTAATGCATAACACAAACATTTAGTGGTTAGTATCAATATATGCATAAAACTACTAACACAAACACTAACTCCAAAAGGGCCAGATGTCTTTCCTGATGCTCCAACATGTGAGCACAACATTAGTACTTACCAGATAGTTAGTACAA